GATTTATCATAAGATTCCCGCGTGATTCGTCAATGAAAATGGATCTTGAGGGTTCCCTGTAAAAAAAAAAAAAAAATTCACGCGATCACACATATTGAGATGCATTTGAAAAAGTGGATCAGAAATACGCTCAAATAAGCTCAAGATTTCTTTTAAGCATATCAAGCCAGTAGTTATAACAAATTTGAAGAGAGAAAAGGAAAAGAAGAAGACGAGATAATTTGCTTGCGAGCAGATATATAGTTACAAAAAATAGCTTTTATTCTGTCCCGCATTCCATACCAGTCAACATTATATTCAGAGTCTGAGCGACGCTGAGGGTGGCGCTTTTAGCGTGTAATAGCCATTCGACGTTCTTGCGAAGGAATAATTGAAGACAGAATTTCGAAAATAAAGTAACGTGTAAAAGAAAAAAAGAAAAATAATAATAATAATAAAAAAAAAAACACTGATGAATATATAGATACACACACACGTGTATATATGCATGTATATATAAACATACATCACACACACACACACACACATTTATATACGTATATACACATATACATACATATATGTATGCACATAGATACATATATATATATATATATATATACATATATATAATTTATATATATTTATATAGATACATATATATGTATATATATATATATATATATATATATATATATATATATATATATATATACATATATTTAACCCCTTGGTGCCGGGTATGATGTGTACGTACGTACTATGCTCACCGTGAGTACTTTTTTGATTGTTGTTACGCATAGATGGCAACACTTGTACTAACTCCCCAGTGAGCCAGTTACGAGCATCGCCCGTCTCGCCCGTTTACCCGTTTCTTTGATTTACGAAATATTTTACGTTATCTTATTTTGCTGTTACTAATGTTAAAAAACATTATAAAAATTATAATGTTTATGATAAAAATAACACCATCGATTTTCATAGCACTAGTGAAAAATACGTGTGTGTGTATATACATATATATACACACACACACACATATATGTATGTATACATATATATATATTTATGTATATATGTACATATATATATATGTATATATATATATATTTATTTATTCATATGCATATATACATGTATATATATATATATATATATATATATATAAATATATATATATATATATATATATATATATATATATACACTCTCACACACACACACACACACACACACATATATATATATATATATATATATATATATACATATATTAATACATATATATATATATATATATATATATATATATATAAACACACATACACAGACACATATATATGTATATATATATATATACACATATATATGTATATATATATGTGTGTGTGTGTTTATATATATGTATATGACATATATATATATATATATATATATATATATATATATATATATATATATATATATATATATATACAATATATATGACACACACACATATATATATATATATATATATATATATATATATATATATATATATATATGTTTATATATATGTATATGGTATATACATATATATATATATATATATATATATATATATATATATATATATATATATATATTCACATTCTCTGGTAAAGTGATTGTGCGTATACATATAAGACTACAACTGAAAAAAGTTGCAGGGCTACAGTAACGACACAATATAGAATATTTCAGAGAAAAATCCACCGGTATGATAGGGGACATTCGCGAATAATCAGTTTACGAAAGTGAGTTCTGGCCAGGAATAAGGAGAAAGAATATATGGTCACGGCAGGTGAACACCGAGCGACCATTAACAACATCAATACTCAAGTGGTCGTGGTAGGGAACAATCAATGAATGACGTCACAGTTTCAAGTACCACACATAACTAAAACCCAAAATATATTATCGATTTCGTATATCATCTAAAGTTAAATTGCTCTTTATACATTTAACTTTACCAGAATAACGAAAAGGAAAAGATGGTATAAGAGAATAACATTGGTAAGAATGGTCCCCGCTAGTGACATTTGGCATCTACAGCGCCATGCAAGGAAAATATTTTTGGCTTCAGTAGCTACTCAAGACTCATACAAGAGAGACGGTAAAGTGTGATCAAACTATTTTTTGTAAAATTTGTAAATGTTTTAAATAGTCTCATATATATAGATAAAAAAATCTTATCGGAGTCAAAACTGGCATAAGATAATCAATATATAATTAATTTTCCTTATGTTAGAAGTTACCTTACCAAGAAGAAAGTCGCTCCCAAAGTAACTATTTTACTGGAATGCATTACCTTTGATGTGGATTCAATGTAGTGCATAGGCTATTTTCATTTAGTGTATGATAAAAAAAAGAGATTGATAGTGACTGAAGCCTACATTAACAGTTACAGTGTTTAATAATAATGAAATAATGATGATACAAGTGATACTGATTCGTAATAATATTCTTTCTTCTAGTGTTCAGTCCTATGAGAGGTCCTTTTTGACATCCATTTTCTCCATGACCTATTTTCTGTTAATATATTTACCATCCCCAGTCTTTTATCACGGGACTGAGGGCCATTTCCTGAAATCATTCAGGGCGGTTTCCCGTTGCCTTAATGAGAATTAATGAAGTGATGACAATAATATCTGTAAAAACATAATGGAACTGTAAATAACTATAACGGTAACAGTAATAGCATTATTGATGATAGTGCTGATTATTATCATTATCATTGTCGACAGTATTGTATATTTCATGGAATCTGATGCAAAGTATCGATACTTTCAATATGACCTTGGTATTGATACACATAGCAAGGTGTCGAGTATTGTGAATATTTTACATAAATTATTATATTTGAGTGATATAATTTATTTTCTCACTTTCTCCTGACATTGTTGGTCACTTTAAATGTCTGGTATCACATTGCAGTACTGCTGGTCTCGGGCAGGTGGATGAGACAATGTGTGTAGTAGTGCTATTTTAAGAGGCATAGTATGTCCCACTATTAACGTCATAATAAAGTTTAAATAACTTTGACAAGGGCAGTTATGAAGCAGCAGACTCGAATTCACAACATTTATTTCAGAAGGAAATTAATTTGGGAGGAGATGAGACCAAGGCGGGAGGGAATCCTAGATAGAATATCGCTTGAGGATCTGCTGAATGTTTTTCACCCTGAGAGAGAGAAAATATCTCAAAAAAGACCTTGAGACTGGAGGATTAACTTCTAACGGCCTCTTCCGGTAATTTTGAATAATCGCCCAAGAGTTTCTTTTTTATTCACTCTATCTATCTTTTCACAGACCTGACTTACAAAAGATATACTTATATTACTGTTAAGTGAACAGGGACGAACGTGAGATAAAACAGGCATGTCCGGAAAATACCATTTCACTGTTTAGTCGGGCACTAGCACTGTGCTACAGAGAGGGACACGAATTGCTGTAACTTCAATGAATCTGTCTCCTCACCGTGAACAATGTATAGGGTAACTGACAATATAATGTAGGAAATCTCTATTTTTTTTTTATAAAGTACTCGAGACAACATATACTGGACACTATAGTACTCGGTATCGGTACTCGATACTTCGGGAATAGAGCGGAAAATACTCGGTATCGGATAAAAAAAAAAAAAAAAAATCAGTAGTTATATCTGATCCATAGAATCATTTCTAATATTGGTGTTTAATCCGTCTAATCCTGCAATCCTCAAAGGAGTTAGATCTCTCGAAAATCTATTTATTAATTTATCCATTCATTCACTTATTTGATGTTGATTTTGCGCCAGAGACCGTGAGAGAGACTGTAGGTATGACAGTATTAGTGTGAATATATTTTCTATTGATAATTGAATTTAACTATTGATTCTTATGATATTTCCTTTCAGAAAAAAATGACAAAAGAAATTTAGTGGAAGCATACAAGGAATGAAGACAAGAAGAGATAAGAAATAAAAAATAAGATCAAGGCAAGAGGAACCAACATGGACAAAGAAAGAGAAAGCAGAATTACCGATAACGAAGGAGGAGGGAGAGGAGACGATTATTCAGGTGGACAAGGGAGAGGGATGAGAAGAAGGGGATGGGAGAAAGGAGGAAGCAGCAATAAAAAAGAAGAAATGGCGAAACTGGAAAAGGAATTGGAGCAAGAAATTCGTTACAGGTAAAGATGTATATTTTTTGTGTTTTTATTTGGATTTGAGGATAATGATAAATTATGGATCTCATTTAATTAAAATATTTTCTATATGTTCATGAATGCTTGTCATCTGTTCACGCAGGTTCATATCTTAAAATCTAATGGTTATACAAATGTGTATCATTTTGGGAAATAATAGTGATAGTACAGGTCAGCGTATACCAAGATCATTATAATTAATGAATGTTTGTGTTATTCCATCCAGTCTTCAGTATATGGCGGTAACAGAATCTCATGCTAATTTAAGTAGTATATTTAAGTGTTGCTAATCGATTTCATACGCATGTGTTTTATTATGTTTATATAATATCTAACTTCCTGATGTGCAGACTTGCAATGAAAACCCAATGCAATGATAACCCACATGACAAAACGACCCTCCCTATCAAATAACCATCATCATATCTGGAATCCCATTATATCTGTACCCCCCCTTCCCCAAAGACTGACGCTGGAGCAGCTTTATTTTGTACAGCGATACCTGGCCAGCAAGGATACGTAAGTCTGTTACGAAATACGATCTTAAAATCACGCACTAGTAACAGCCGGTGAAGTTGCCAGTTAGTTTTATATATATATATATATACTGTAATATTTGATCTCATGTATATATCTAACATATATATACATAAGCGAAGAAATGGCCGAAGACGTCCATCGCCAATTATTACTATTACTATGATCCTCTAAAATGTAGTTTTGGTGTAAACATATTCCTAAATAGATGGTTTGGGTGACAAGCTTGTCGCTACTGTAGTTAGTTCTAATTAGTGTAAAGATAGCTAAAAATTG